CCCCCCCCCAATTTCATTATAATTGATTTACTTAATTAAAAAATTGAGTGAAAGAAATTATTTTATTTATTTAATTTGGTAGCAGTTCTTCTGCTTGTTTTGATGGTATTGTTAATCTCCCTATTCTCTGAAGATGTTTATTTTAAATCTCAGAAGTGTGTGTTTTGAAGAGGAGGAATTTAATACTTTGATTTGACGCCCTCTTCCTCCTCATTTCTCACTTGGGTCAAAAGTAGAAGCGAATCTTGTTTTCTTCCCTCCTTTTCAGTTCTTTTGACACTAGACTGGCCTCTTAGTTTGATGATACACGGTACTTTTCTTCTGTTATTAGGTGTACTTTGAACTTCAGCATCATGCACCTCATGTAAAGAAGATCATCGATGACCAGCACTCTCGATTGCACAAAGCACAGCAGAAGATTTTGGAAGTTGAAAGGAAACAGGAAAAGATAGAGGATCGTATTGAGCATGCAGTTCAGTTTCACAGTAAGCTAGAAGAGCGCTTGCAAAGCCTGCGACACCTGCCTGCAGCACACAAGAGATCTCTATCAAAAGCTGAACGAGAGTTCAAGTCTGAACTTGGTATTTGCTCCTCTAATGCTAATGCTTAATGTAGTTTTATTTGGTTTATTGTGACTTATCATTTGCGTAAAAAACAGTATAATGCATGTAAATATGTTTTGTCTTCTGTATATGGCCAAAAGACTGTCTTTACCAACTCTCTGATGCTCTAGAAGCATCCCTAAAAGGGAACTAACCTGTAAGCCCGAAAAAGAGCTACTCAATTTATTCTGGTTACACACCTTAAAATACGGGGTTCCCTTTACAAAACTTAACTTGGAAATTCCGCAGCGAGTTCCCCACAATTTGGAGACGTGTCAGGCGCATATGTTTCCATCTTTTCGAGGGCGTGAAGAGCTTTAAATTGAAAAAAGAAAAAGTGAGATAAAATCAACTGTCTAGATCAATTCAAACAATCCTAAGGTCTAAATCCTTTTTATTTTTCATTTTTTTCTTTTCCACCTCCACCCCCATCTTAACCTACACTACCTTCACCACCAGTGACAACACCCCTTTTCTTCTCCACCACAACGCTACCTCCCCACCTCAGACCNTTTTTTCTTACTCCACACACGACTACCCGTCCCCACCTCAGACCATCTTAATGCATTTGCTGGAGTCGAAGAGAGGTGTTGGCTGGCGTTTATGGTGTAGCTGTTTGGGGTTTTTCTCTTTCTTTTTAGGTGAAACTGAGGTGAGACTGGTGGTAGAGAAATTGTGAGGTGAGTGAGATTAGAGAAAATGGAGATTGGCGGAGAGTGGTCGATGGTTGGCGGTTAAAGGTGAAAATGGTTGGTCGTGCAAGGAGCTGTAAAGTTTTTTTTATATGGCTGAATGGGTTGTTTTTGCTGCAGTTAAGGATGTAACAGAGAAGAGATGGTGTTTTCTTTTCCTTTTGCCGAAGCCCACATGGGGAGGTTGCCTGTCGTTTTTCTTTTCTTGGATTAATGGGTTCTGCAGCTGAATATAGATAGCACAACTAAATTTGCTTATTTAGATAGTGGCTGTAGTGTCTGAGAGGAAGCAAGTGTTTTGGTACGGAACATACAGAGAGGGGTCTGTAATGGTGGTCGAGTAGTGGGACGGAGACTGGGATGGGGGTGGGTGGGTGGGGGGATTTTCAGTAATTTTTTGTTTAATTTTCGACACAGGTCACTCTATGGGTGGCCCATGTAATACACTTCGTGAGACGAAGTGGTCTTAGGCCATCTTGGGGGGTTGGGGGGTCTTAGCTACGTAATTTTATATATTAGTTGTGTAAAGGAAACCCTGTTGTCTAGGGTGTGTAAATGGGAAATTGGTGCAAGTTGGGCGGAAAGTATGTATTAACCTTTTTCTGGCTTTAACCTTCTCGTATATGGAACTGACTTATGTTTTTTGTAATGCAGACAGATATAGGGGAGTGGAGTTGGATGCTCTGCGCTTTTCTATTGAAGCAGTAAATGCCAGGTTGAAAAGATTCACACATTCTCCACAGGCCAGTCGATCAAATGAACAGCGACAATTATCAGTGAGGAGAAAGAGCCATGTTCAGGAAAATGAAATGTCACTGCTTAAAGCATCACTTGAAAAGCTCTCACTGGTGAACAGTGAAAATGCCAAGAAGGTTAAAGTAGTTGAATCCGCATTGAAATGCCGCGAAATAGGCACTTCATGAGATCACACTGGTTATTCCCCTCAACTATATATTTAGGATAGCATGTTGATTTTTGCTTCTGATGTACAAGAATGCAAACAATTTCCCTGGAGTTAAAAGCTGTTGGCCGTGACCACAAAATTACTCTTTTAAGCAGCTTGATTGCCTTTCCTAATTTCCGGCAGGAAGAACTTAAAGGTTAGTGAGTGTTGATCGCAGAATATATGGTCTAATTACGAGTTAGAGTATCTTCGTGGACGAGGTTACTTCTGCAAAAGCGATTTGTGAGGCCAAATGTTAATTTTGGATGCATCCCTTGAGTGAGGTTGCATATGGAATCATCATGTATAAGACTAGAATATTAGACGAGCTGCATGTTTTATAGATTTTTTCCCTGTAGTATATATGGGTCTTCCTACCCCAATTATTGTACTACTTATAGTTCTAGTTTCTAAGAAGGGCAACATCCCATATCAAATAGTACCAATGTGATATAAATATTATTAAACTATTCATATCATCTATATCACGAATTTTGAAAAGCATACAAGTTCAAAATGCACTTAATGCACCGGACTGCCTTTTATACAAGTTCAAAATGACGAATAGCAAATTTTTGATTTTGCTTTTTTTATTCAGATGAATGGTGAATCTATTAAATCTTTCAAGAATTAAAGGTAAACTGTAACTTATTGAAAAAGCATAAATTTGACCACTGTATCTTAGCTCTTGTGAATTATGTTCTCGTAAGTTAATTCACATTATGTTTGTCTCTATGGAGCGGTTAAGTCCTACACGTGTCCCAAATTAGCTTTAATACTTTCTTTAATGTTTTCCCAAAATATTTTCGTTCTCCAAAGCTGTAAACTTGATTTCTTATGCTATAAACACATTACTACAATTAAATGCCTAGATCCAAATAGCAAAGGTCTATAATTGACTTCTCTAAAATTTTATATATCTTTTCAACACTCGTACAACCTTACCTATCATAGGCTAAGCCTAGAAAACTTAACGTGAAACTCAAGTAGTTTTCTTTATTTCAAACTGATTTTATCTTTTTTTGTATTTCTTACGGGAAGTAAAATATAGTTGGAGAATGATAGTAACTAAAGAAGAAAACATACAGGAACTCCAACTATTTCTATCCATAATTAAACTAGTATTTTATATACCAATCAACTTTATATTCGCTTTTGTAACTAAAATAATTCCATCTTTTATCCCCACTGTTTTATAGCTTGATCTTTACTTTTTTCGCCTGTTACCCAAGTCTCTCAACCACTCCAAAAGCAAAAACATTAAGGAAGAAGCTGCTCTACTTTTTCAAAGAAAATAACCAAATAAGAATGAATCTAACAAATAAAAAGGGCATATAGCTGGAAATCATTTCGCATATCATGTTATGGTTTATAAAACATGGAGATTTTGATGATATTTAATTTACGGTACTTTTGTCAAAATTTTATCCATATTAAGAAAAGTATAATTTCAGACAATTATAGAATCGTAGTTGTGTTTCAAACAACAGCCATAAAAGTGGCTATTTGACCAAACCTCACCTTTTCTATTGTGATCGGCACTCGCATTTCTCCAAGGGCTACGGTACCCTCCAACTTAGCCTTGCTTCGGTCCAAGAAACTGTTCTAGGCAAAAGATTTTCAACACCCTTTCATTTATCCAAGTGATTTGTTTGCTGGAAAACTTCTTCTGTACCATTCCCTTTTAAAAGTATAATGCATCACAACGCTGATAACATAAAAACCAAATTTAAAATCTTCTCAAATAATTGTTGTTCATTTTCTCATACAGCTAAAAAGTTTAGACTTTCATTTTGGTTGTCATGACCCAAAATCTCACCTAAGGATCATGACGGCACCTAGTCTCTAAAACTAGGTAAGCCTAACACATGAGATCAAACAAAATAAAGCAACTTAACTATTTTATAAAAGCTGAAAAATGCCATAACATAGCCGTAAAGTGAATACAACATTCGCACATCCCAAAAATCCGGTAATACTAAGTCATAAGCTCTACAAGAAGTACATAATAAGTCTCAAAGGATACGTCCATGTTTCGAATACATAAACAGTAATAAAGCAACTAAAGAGGGTGACCCGGAGGCCTGCGCGGGACAACAGGTATACCTTGAAGTCTCCACAGCTCTGGCTCGACTCTCTAGCGACCAACACAATCCAAGGTACCTGGATCTGCACAAAAATGTGCAAAAGCGTAGTATGAGTACACTACAATCGATACCCAGTAAGTATCAAGACTAGCCTCGGTGGAGTAGTGACGAGGTTCAAGTCAAGATACTCACTAGTCAAAGAGTCTGTGCAGAATATCAATATAAAACTGACAACGGAAAAGCATAAGAAAATAAATATCATCAAGGAACAGGGCATGTGATAGCACGACAAATTAACCAACAACCCATAAAACACAAAGTGAAATCATTTAAGAAAAGCAAAGATATATTTAAATCATCAAGCCGTTCCAACATAAGAGTAACATCAAGAATAACCCTGATATACCATAAAACATAATCAACAAGCCACCCTTCTGACCCCGCGTGAGCTTCACAATGAAATATTTCCCCTTATATAGCTACAGACGCATAAGTCCCCTAATCTAGCTGGGTGCGCATTACAGTAAAGTATTCCCCTTAATTGCAATACGCTCATAATCTCCCTTATCTCGCCGCATGCGCATCAATAAACACCACCCTTATGTCTCAGCAAGCGTATCTCGCCACCCTTGTACTCCACACAAATACAATCATCGACGCAACACGTACACATGTGCCACAATACCACAATAAATATACAAAAGCCACAACAAGATATAGCCCACAACTTGACAGCAACGTGTACAAGAATCATAACAATAACATAAGGGCGCAGAGAGTGAACAACAATAAAACATGTTTCATATAACAAACAAACCAAATTCAAAGCATATTAATATCCTAGGGTGTAATTCGGACAATTACCACACATATTCCCGTGTACACACACTTCACCTTATGTACATGTTGTTTCACATAGCACAAATAATGCAAATTAGACCAAATCCTAGGGGAAAATTCTCCCACACAAAGTTAGGGAAGATACTTACCTCAAACAAGCAAAGTCAATACTCTAAGAAGCCCTTCCCGCGTGAATCAACCTCCGAATGAATCGAATCTAACCAAAACAAATTAATAATATCAATTAAAGCCATAGGTAACAAGCCCAAACGATAAAGCTAAGATCTTGGTTCAATTATGTAAAATCAACCCAAAAGGTCAACCCCGAGCCCGCACCACGAAACCTGATCAAACTCATAAATTTCGAACATCCATTTCAATACGAGTCCAAATATATGTGTTTCATCCAATTCCGGCTTCAAATCGACCTTCAAATCATCAATTTTTACTTTAGAATTTTTTTATTAAAATCCCAATTTCTTCACTTCGATTTATCAATTAATCGCTAAAATCAAGGTTGGAATCATGAATAAAACAAATTCGATTAAAAAAATACTTACCCTAATCCAAATCATAAAAATTTCCTTCAAACTGCCCTAATTCGAGATCTATAGATCAAAATGTGATTAAATGACAAAATCCCTCGAAGTAAAGTACTTAAATGATCTGCCTAGGTATACACATCGCGATTATGGGACCTACCTCGCGATCGGGAAAGAAAATTCTCCCCCAGCTACTGACCCTTCTACGTGAACGCGATGACACCCTCACGAATGCGATGCTCAACCTCCTGGGCCTACGCGAACGTGGCCTTATACACGCAATCGTGAAGAACAAACGCTTGCCATCACCCCCAGCCGGCCTTCCTCTACGCGAACACGATCTCCCTTCGCGAATGCGAAGGCCACTACCTCTTAAGCTCCATGAATGCGGACGCGAAGAACAAAACTCGCATGACACCAAATGCTCTCCGCGAACGCGATTACCTTATCGCAATCACGATGAAGGAAACCATACATCAACAAATCAACAGTCCAAAACAAGGGAAAAAGATTCGAACCCCATCCGAAGCTCACTCGAGGCCCCTGGGATCCCGTCCAATCACACCATCAAATCCTAAAACATAACACGACCTACTCGAGGCCTCAAATCGCACAAAACAACATTGAAACCACGAATCGCACCTCAATTCAAGTATAAGAAACTAATCCAAATTTCCAAATTCAAAACTTATGCCGAATATGCTAAACCACTACTAATGACCTCAAATTTTGCATGCAAGTACCAAATAACACAACGGACCTATTCCAACTACCGAAACCACAATCCGAACATGATATCATCAAAGTCAACTCTCGGTTAATCTTATCAACCTTCCAAACTTTCAACTTTCCAACTTTCACCAAATAAAACCAAATCAACCTAGGAACCTCCAAATCCAAATTTGAACATATTCCTAAGTACAAAATCACCATATGAAGGTATTGGAACAATCAAAATATCATTTGAAAGTCGTCTACACAAAAATCAAACTCTGATTAACTCTTAAAACTTAAGCCTCCAACCAAGGGACTAAATGCCCCAAATCAATCCAAAACCTCCCGAAAACCTAATCAACCATCCTCGAAAATCACGTAACCCCTAACACACATGTGTAAATCATCAAATAGGAGAAACATGACTATAATACTCAAAACAATCGGTCAGATCAGTGCATTCTCCCCCTCTTAAACAAATATTCATCCTCGAACTAGTATAGAGACATACCTGAAGTACCAAAAAGGTGAGGATATTGGCTCCGCTTATAATTCTTGAATCTACCAAGTCACCTCCTCGACTGGTTGACCTCTCCACTGAATCTTCACCGATGCAATTTTCTTCGACCTCAACTTCCGGATATTCTATCTTACATAGCCACCAGCTTCTCAACATAGTCCAATCCTTGTTCAATTGCACTGAGCTGAAATCTAGCATATGTGACAGATCACCATAATACTTTCGGAGCATGAAAATATGCAACACGGGGTGAACTCCCGTTAAACTAGGTAGCAATGCAAGTCGATAGGCCACCTCACCCACTCTCTAAAGAATCGCAAAAGGACCAATATACCAAGGTCTCAACTTTCCCTTCTTCTCGAACCTCATCACGCCCTTCATGGGCAAAACTCTAAGTAGAACCATCTCACCCACCATGAAGGCCACATCACGATCCCTCCTATAACGACCCGACTGTTTGTTTTGTGTATTTGAGCTCCTTTTTCCCTTTTAAAGATTTCCATGTGTGTATTTATGATTATATAACTTGCAGGGATGGTTGTTTTGGTTTCGGGAAGATTTTGGATTGATTTAGAACATTTGATTCTTAGTTTGGAACCTTAAGTTGGAAACATTGACCGAGGTTTGACTTTTGTAAAAATAACACCGGAACTGTATTTTGATGGTTCCAATAGGTTCTCATGGTGATTTTGGACTTAGATTATGCCTAGAATTGGATTCGGAGGTTCCTAGGTCGATTTGGCTCTTTTTGCCGAAAGTTGGCAATTTGGAAGTTGGAAATTTCCTAAGTTTGACCATGGG